AATGACTTGCGAAATCATGTGGGTCAGCATTATTTTCTTTAGCGAGTAAAACAGTATGTTTTGAACTGGAAAATGAGCTTCAAGAACCCTTCTACACTCTAGAAATCAAAGGATTGATTGAATCATTTAAAAAAGGGACACAAAAGATGAGAGCCATGACTATCTTGCAAAGCTAGCAGTTCCATTTATCCTCCTACAATGATTATAAAATGATCCTACTGATAACTGGGGCACAAAGAGTGTGGTTCAGGAATGGCTAAATCACACTGCTTTCTAATTGTCCTTCCTCAGGCAGTCGCCCTTTTATCTTTGTTTACGCATTTCCTTTCACCAGATACTGGTAAAAGAGTGGTCTAGACTTCAAAACATCTGAGCTTGTTGCTACCCTCCTTCTTTCCACTCTATTGCCACTCTGTGAAGGATCTCATGACAGCTTGTTCTCCTTCTTATGGCATAAGAACACATCATCCCAACCATTACTCTTCTGATGGCCTACCACTGCACCCTGTGCTCATTCTTACCAGATTTAATCTACTCACATAAACAGCTGATAAAAGAATCTGTCTTTATCCAGCAGTTCTAAAAATCAATAAGTAGGCTCAGATTTACATGTAAGACAGCTTTAAATATGATGACATATGAGACTATGAGAAACTTGTCCAATAGAAGTCGTAAGGCCTATTTTCCAACAGAGACAATACAGAGGGTTTTGGCATTCCTAGCTGATGGGCATATACTACAGAGGCTTGGATCCAGAGGTTTTTTTTAAAAGACCTACTCTGCATTATATGCATGGCATATAATACCACAAGCATTAGAATCAAGAAAATGAATGTAAAAGTTGATTACAATACTGGATCATCTGCATCAGGAAGAAAGACCTACTGTCTGCAAACTGTTTGGAGAGAAGGTATGTTAAGGCACATATGAGACAAAGAAGGTGATTTGAGACAGCCAGCATGGCTTCACCAAGGGCAGATTGTGCCTGACCAATCTGGTGGCCTTCGATGATGGAATGATGGCTTCAGTGGATGGGGGAAGGATGGTGGATGTCATCTACCGGGACTTCTGCAAGGCCTTTGACATGGTCCTTCACCACATCCTGCTCTCTAAATTGGAGCGATGTGGATTTGAAGGATGGACTGTTGGAGGGATTAAGAATTGGCTGGCTGGATGCAGCCAAAGGGTTGTGATCAGTGGTTCTGTGTCAGGGTGGAGGTCAGTCACAAGCGGTGTCCCTCAGTGGACCGGTGTTCTTCAACATCTTCATCAGTGACACAGTCGATGGCATCGAGTGCACCCTCAGCAAGTTTGCAGATGACACCAAGCTGAGTGGTGCAGTCGATACACTGGAAGGAAGGGAAGCCATCCAGAGGGACCTGGACAGGCTGGAGAAGTGGAGAAAACATAATGAGGTTCAACAAGGCCAAGTGCAATGTGCTGCACTTGGTCAGGGCAATCCCAGGTATTTACACAGACTGGGAGAAGATCTCCTTGAGAGCAGCCCTGCAGAGAAGTACTTGGGGTCCTGGTGGACAAGAAGCTGGACATGAGCCAGCAGTGTGTGCTTGCAGCCCAGAAGGCCAACTGTGTTCTGGGCTGCATTAAAAAAGGGGTGGCCAGCAGGGAGAGGGAGGTGATTGTCCCCCTCTAATCTGCTCTTGTGAGGCCCCTTCTGCAGCACTGCGTCCAGGCCTGGGGCCCCCAGTACAGGAAGGACGTTGAGCTCTTGGAACAGGTCCAGAGGAGGCACTGAGATGATCAGAGGGCTGGAGCACCTCTCCTGTGAGGAAAGGTTGAGGGAACTGAGCTTGTTTAGCTTGGAGAAGAGAAGGCTCCAAGGAGACCTCATTGCTGCTTTACAGTACTTGAAGGGAGTGTATAAACAGGAGGGAGAACGGCTGTTTACGAGGGTGGATAGTGACAGGACAAGGGGGAATGGTTTTAAACTGAGGCAGGGGAGTTTTAGGTTGGATATGAGGAGGAAGTTTTTTGTCCCAGAGGGTGGTGACACACTGGAACAGGTTGCCCAAGGAGGCTGTGGATGCCCCATCCCTGGAGGCATTCAAGGCCAGGCTGGATGTGGCTCTGGGCAGCCTGGTCTGCTGGTTGGCGACCCTGCACATAGCAGGGGGTTGGAATGAAATGATCTTTGCAGTCCTTTGCAACCCAAGCCATTTTTATGATTCTAAGATTCTAAGATTCTATGATTCTATGACAAATATTCTTCAGTGAGCACAATCTCTGACAGAGTAATTATTACATATAACTATGTTTTCTATTTTGCATACGGACACTTTGTACCTTCAATAAGCAACACTTTCTGTATATGCCTATGGGACAAATCCTTTTTATTTTAATATCCTGAATATATATGCTGGTTGAAGGCAGTTTGTTGAAGAATACCAGCCTAAGATGGCAAGGCTAACATACTGCTCTTTCAATACACGTACATAACTTACGAACAAGCTGTTCAAAACTCTGGACAGAATTTGCTTGTTCTTATGTTTTCTTCCCAAGATCTAGCTGCTAGAATTGTATGAAAGATTAGAAACAAAGTTTAAAAAGTTCTTGTCCTGTGTTTATTTTTGAAGGAAATTCTGTGAACTGTGAACTGCTTATATCCAGTGTAGTAATGACTGTACAAAAGGGTAATATTATTTCACAAGGCAGAATCACAGCCAGAGGAGGGCAAAAAGATTACCGATCTCATATCCACCAACACACCAGATAAACATTCTGCTTTAAGATTAATTTGTAAGTGGTAGAATAGGGGTAGGAGGTTTGACAGTTTCTGTCTTTATTTTTGTGTTTATAAAAACTGCTTCCTTTGCAAAAATTGCACGCCTCCTGGACCTGCATTTTTCCTCTGAATTTGTAACCTAGGTTAGTTGTCAGGAAAACTATAGTATTTGTGTCTCCAAAATAAAATTTCACACACAGCATGCCATAAATACATAAATGAGTTTTCCTTAGCAGTTTAATCTTTTGTCTAGCAATGACAATGCAAATCAGCGCACTGTGAACAAATCTCTGACACAACCAGAGCACCTCATGTTTGAAATGCTGCCTTGGTTCTCTGGAGGCTGAAAGGGGCTTTCATGTGCTGGTCACACACAGTATGCAACCTGAAGACTTTAAGTGCATATGATTGTATTTACATATTGCTATATTATCTTTTTTTTTTTTTTTTTTCCTTCTTAAGCTTCTTTTTCTTCATTTCCAGGAAGGTTCAGGTGCATATTAGGAAACATTTCTTCTCAGACAGAGTGGTGATGCATTAGTTTGGGCTACCCAGGGAGATGGAGGAAATCCCTGAAGGTATTTAAGTAACATGCAGATGTGGTACTGAGGTACATAGTTTTGGACATGGTGGGGACGGGTTGATGATTGGACTTGGTGATCTTAGAGGTCTTTTCCAACCATAATGATTCTGTTATTCTACGGAGTTTCTGGAGAACAGTCAGTCTTAAAGTACTTGGTTGTCAATATGGTGTGACCCAGCTCACTTTGAGACAGGATTTTAAGGGAAGTCAATGCCTTTCACATGGTTTGGGTTGGAAGGGACCTTTACAAATGATCTAATTCTACCTAGGTGGCCCAGTACATAAAAAGATCTGCTGCTATGCCATTAACAAAGAAAGTCCCATAAGAAGCATATCTAGAACACCTGAGATATGAATCTGATAAAAAAAAATCCACTAAAACTGTTCAAAAAAATCCTCAACACATATGTACCCTATGGGTTACGGAATATGTTAGATATGTGACTGAACAAAAATACAGTACAGAACACAGCTGCCTTATAGTGCGCTGACTGGCCATTCTGTGAGCGTATGGGGTTTCCACAAGCAGTGACCGTTCCTTTTCTCAGGAGATGTGTCAGAAAATGCCATAAGAAGAAAGAAGGAAATATCACCTAGCAACCAAAGCTCTATGAAGAAAAGTTCCATGCTGGCCAGGAGAGGGAGGGTCAGCAGAGAGCTAGGTGCAGGCACGATCAACAGTGAAATGCTGTGTACCCACTGCCAGCCCCAGCCTGGTCAGGCTCTGCATACTGTGGGTCTGAGGGGATTTTGGATTTCAAAGCAGGGCTCAGGATTACTTTTTTTTTTCACTCTTCCCAAGATTAGTTTGGAAATGATGCAATCTCAAATCACGATGGGGATCTGTATTTTAATTTTAAAACAGCAATAAGTTAACTTGATGGGAAAGGGCATTACCTCTCTTTTGTCTTGTATTTCTATTTTTTATCCTTCCATTTGAAAAGGCCAGACTAACATGTTTTTCTACTATCTGACTGAACAAAGAAGAGCTTTTCTTCTTTATTATCTTTATTTATATACGTGTAGCCCTTTGATGAATTAAGAAATTAAAATTGGAGATCATTTGCCCCCGAGTCAGGGAAGGAAGAAGAGGAATAGCAGGAGTCAGGCTTGTTTGTAGGGGGAAAACAAGCCAGGTTGAGAAACACGGCTATACACCCAGCACTGAAAAGGACGCTATGCTCTACGTAGGGAATTCAGCGTTCAGAAGCAGGCGTGTGACGGGAGGACAGGACACGATGTCGGAGCTGCGGCGCGGCCTGCACATGGCCCGTGCGCACGGGGGCGGCGGTGAGTGCGTGGCACGGCAAGGCCGTGGAGCGGCTGGTGCGGTGCATGCGAGGAACGCACGGCTGCTGCTGCTGGATCTCACCAGCATACCAGCAGAAGCTGCCTTCGCACCGACTCCTTGCTGGGATCGCTATACCCAGCGATATAATATGTTACATCTGCACGTATCGCATGAGCTGCAGATTTCATAACCTGCTCGGAGTGCCATTGCAGCACGGCAATTTCATCTCCTTACCCGCCTTCCAGCTCTGCACCGCGAAGCCGCATTGCTCGCCTCCCGCCGGGCCGCGTCCCAGCGCCAACACCCACCGCCCAGCCCCGGCCCCACGCCCACCACCGGCAGCAGCCGAGCTCCCGCCCTCGGCCCCGCGCCCCGCCCCGGGCCCGCCCCCCGAGCTGGGGGTGCCGTTGGGAAGCCGCTGCAGCCGCTGCTGTAGCAGCCCCGTCACTTCCAGCCTACCGCCGGTGCGGAGCAGAGCGGGGGACTGCCCGGTGTCCGTCACTTTCCGCTGAAAGTCACCATGCCCTCCACCTCTGCCTCGGGCTCGGCCGGCCGCCCCGCGCCCGACTACTGGATCGACGGTTCTAATAAGGACACCCTGACACACTACTTCGATCTGGAGTCCGAGCTGGGACGGTGAGGGGGGAGGCCCGGAGGGCGGCGGGTCCGGGGAGGGACCCCGCATCGCTGGGTCGCGAGCGGCGAAACTTTGGCGTGCGCGGAGCCGCGGGGAGGAGTGGCTGCGGGCGAAGGAACGGCGCCGCGGGTCGAGCTCCGAGAACGGGGGTGGGCGCTGGGAGGTGGCAGCCTGGCAGCCCCGGGTGCCCGGGGGTGAGCCGCGGTGCGCGTTCTTGTTAGTCAGGTGCCGTGTAGCGGCGGGCTACAGTGCCCTGTTGCGTCCCCTCCGTGGGAGGGAAGGCGCCCCGAGGTGCTGCCTGTCCCTCCCTCGCTCTGTGCAGACCTGCAGTCCCTGTCCCACCCCTCAGAGCCCCTCAACCTGGGTGTCAGCTCACAGCCCACGAAGTGGCCGTGAGCAGGCCACCGTCAGCCGCGGACTGCAGTGAATCCTGCCCTGGTGCTCCTGCGTGGCGGCTTAAGGGTCCCAAGCCCTCAGTTTGAGGGCTTCCTTCTTTCTTTATTTCTTTCTTTCTCTCTCTCTCTCTCTCTCTCTCTCTCTCTCTTTTATTTTATTTTATTTTATTTTATTTTATTTTATTTTATTTTATTTTATTTTATTTTATTTTCATTTTCTTTTAGATCGAAGCCCCATGTAAGGTTCAGGTTTCCCCACCTCAAAATACGATTGTTGGTTTATGTTGAATTCACAGATAGAAAATAACACTTTAAAAAAAAAAAATAGTGGAAAAGGAAAGCATTAAAGCATTAGAAAGAATCTTGCACCGGATGACTTAAGTCAGCAAATCAGTGAATAATAGCAATCATGAATTCTAACAACAATCATTATTAAAATTGCAGATGACAATGGGAAATTTGCAGGTGATACTGTGATTCCTTGGCACATTTCTTTTCTGAGAGGACAATGAAAAGTATTGCTATGAACACACCTGTATTTGCCTAATGTAGCTAAAAGGGGCAGGAGAAGCTGTAGGAACACAATGAAACATTTTTCTTGGCTTGCTGGCTAAATCTCAAGCATTTGCTGCTACCTTTTTGCCACTATTGTGACTTGGATTTAAACAGGATTTTATACCCTTTCACAAGTTTGTACTATATCACACATCTGTGCAGGAAAGTGAAAATGGAGGAGGAAGTAGTCAAGTCGGTTTTGTTTCCAGAATTGACACAGTAGTGTGCATTGCTGAGCAACAACAGTTGATAGCAACTCTATCACCTGAATAAGTGCTGCTCTGTGTGGTTTGCCTGGAGTCCTTTCAGCATACCTGCTAGAGATTGTGAGCTTAGGTTTTGGAGAATCCATAGTGGTGATATGACATGTGTTCGTCTTCTATCCTGAGAAGAGGATTAAAAATGTTGACTTCGAGGAAGTCAAGTCCTTATACGCTGCAATATAGTGGGGTTTTCTACCTTGCAAGGTATTGTCGAAGGAGACCAAAGCACTGCACGCTCCTCTCAAAAGGCAGAAAGATATTTATTGATATAACTAAGGTGGTAATTTGAGCAATGATAACAGCAACTTAACAAGATTCAAAATGGCTAAATAGCCTTTATTATTTCCTACATAGAGGGTAGGGGGGTGCATAATGAATCTAAGATCAAATCTTAGCAAAGCTAGTATAACTTAAAAACAGTAAATTGTTTGCCAAGGATCTGTTAGCAAGGCGTAACCATGTTCTGAATGAATCTCTGCACCTTGAGGAGCATCCCTGCTCAAGGGGAGATTCTGGTGTGCAGCCCGCTGCTTGCAAGAACACTTTTCAGGGGATTCTTTGCCTGCTTGCTATTTATAGAGTAAGATGACTGACTTGTAGTTATGCAACTTAGAATTGGTTCTCTTGAGCTAGGTTTCTGTTACTAGGTGTCTGAGTGCCAGTGGTGAAACTTTGATTGTTATTAGTCCCAAGGATAAGGCCCTTTGCACCTCATTGTATGCACTAGGCCTTGGACATAATGACCAGGCAAAGTGGGGGGCGAAGAGAGCACCATCATACAAGGTGACACAGTAGATGCTGAAACCGTAACAGGAGGTTTGAGTGAGAAACATCCACACGCAACTAGGTGAGATATGTGAACCACTAAATCTGCTGTACTGTTGGATAGAGGCAGGCAATGAGATCTGAAGTAAAAGCAGAATGCAAATGGGAAAATATAACCATCTGAAACAATGATCATGGGGTACTGGTGGGGCAGAGAATTCCAAGGAGAAATTGCACCTATGGTTTAGCAGCAAGATCTTGGTCCTCAGGTCCCAGGGTGAACTTAAAAACCCGTGCTAGCCGTGAGGTTGTGGATAACCCCTCCCTGGAAGCATTCAAGGCCAGGCTGGATGGGGCTTTGAGCACCCTGGTCCAGAGGAAGGTGTCCCTGCCTGTAGCAGGAGGTTGGAAATTGATGATATTAAAGGTCTCTTCCAATCCAAAGCATTCTATGATTCTATGATTCATGTATGGTGAATGAAGGAGTGATGGAAAGAGATTGGGAATCTCAGCTGTAGATTCATAGGGTTCTGTAGCTCATCACAGACTCATAAGTAAAGGAGATAAAGAGTAATATTTGCTGATCATAAGTTATGAAGAGTTTTTAAAGACAACACTGCCTGTGGAGAATCACAGGAAGACATTACTGGACTGATAGGATGTTTAAATGACAAATAAAATTTAGTTTAAATGAGTAAAAGCAGATGGAGATGGGAGAGAAACCATTAAGTTGGATGTAGAACAGTGTCTAGTTAGGCGTTGGATCTCGTATCCGCTGGATATTGTGGGTGCTGTAAATTTATAAGAGGCAGCATGGCAAGTTTACTTTAGAGAAACCCATTGAAACTAATTAAATATAAAATTGCTAATTATTGAACTACAAGTTCTTTGGTGTTAAAACTATATTCTTTGACAACATTAATGTGAGTTTGCTCTATTCATGTTCGTCTTGAGGCATCTATGTTTGGTGACTGTTAGAGACAGTATTCTGAGGGAGGCTATTATTCTGAACCAGGACACCTATTTTTACATCCTACTTAATGCTTGGCTACTTTATTATTAATAATTTTGGGTTCTAAGCTTGTACATTCCATAAAGACTAAAATATTTTGTTAGCCATTTATAACTCATGCAGTATCATTTGGTACAGTGTTTCTGAAATTAGGAATGGTATAACAGTGCTATGTGAGGGAAGAAGTAATTCAGTAACAAATATTTCAATACTCAGAAATATTTCAAAGAATTTCTCTTTGTTGAAATTTTTATTAATATTTTACTTACTATGCACTTTCTTGCCTAATTGTGTCAAACTCCACTATCGTTTGATTTGAAACTGCCAAATGTTATTACTGCAGGTGTAGTGCAGATGTATTAAATGGTCAACAGAGTTTGGAAGTATTTTCTACAAAATGCTTAGCGCTTTTAGTTTTGCAAACAAATGTAAAAAAAATTTTTAAAAAAATAGAAATGTTACGGGAATTTTTCTTTGTGTAAGAAGGATACATAAAGTCATCCAAAACCACCTTCAGTTTTGTGATCCTTGCTGAAAACCTAAAGATGCTTGGTACTTGTAGTTTACCTTGAGCTGATAATGGTAGCTGAATCATGGGGCCTTGAGGAATTCTGAGAGCAGAGAATTTAAGTCCAAAGAGTGGATTAAATGCTTGACGACTGCTGTGGAAGTAATGCCTTCCATTTTACTGGGTAAAAAACTGTCTAGAGGGCTATGCCCAAGGGGTAGTAGTCCAGCTGGTGACCCGTTACAAGTGCTGTCCCTCAGGGCTCAGTACTGGGGCCCATCTTGTTTAATGATGACCTAGATGAAGGGATTGAGTGAACCCTCAGAAAGTTTGCAGATGACACCAAGTTGGGAGGTGGTATTGGTCTGCTTGAGGGTAGGGAGGCCCTTGAGAACGATCCAGCTGTATCACTGGGCTGACGTGAATGGGATGAGGTTCAACAAGGCCTAGTGCCAGGTCCAAGCAAGTGTAGAGTCTTACACCTGGGGAGGAATAATTGCATACACCAGTACAGGCTGGGGGATGAGCTGCTGGAGAGGAGCTCTGCAGAGAGGGACCTGGGTGTCCTGGTAGATGACAGATTGGCCATGAGCCAGGAGTGTGCCCTCTTGGCTAAGAGGGCCAATGGCATCCTGGGGTGCATTAAAAAGAGCGTGGCCAGCAGGTCGAGGGAGGTGATCCTCCCCCTCTACTCTGCCCTGGTGAGGCCTCATCTGGAGCACTGTGTCCAATTCTGGGCTCCCCAGTACAAAAAAGACAGGGATCTCTTGGAAAGAGTCCAGCAGAGGGCCACAAAAATGGTGAAGGGCCTGGAGCATCTCTGCCTCGAAGAAAGGCTGAGTGAACTGGGTCTGTTCAGCCTTGAGAAAAGACGACTGAGAGGGGATCTGATCCAGGTTTATAAATATCTGAGGTGTGGGGGCAGAATGGCGAGGCCGGACTCTTTTCAGTGGTGAGTGGAGACAGGACAAGGGAAAACTGCCGGAAACTGCAGCACAGGAAGTTCTGCACAAATGTGCGCAAGAACTTCTTTACAGTGAGGTGACGGAGCACTGGAACAGGCTGCCCAGGGAGGTGGTGGAGTCTCCTTCTCTGGAGATGTTCAAGACCTGCCTGGATGCCTACCTGTGCGACCTGCTGTAGGGAACCTGCTTTGGCAGGGGGTTGGACTCGATGATCTCTGGAGGTCCCTTCCGACCCCTACAATTCTGTGATTCTGTCCTGCACTTTGGCCACAATAACCTCATGCAACGCTACAGGCTTGGGGCTGAGTGGCTGGATGACTGTGAAGAGGAAAGGAACCTGGGGATGTTGGTTGATGCTCAGCTGAACATGAGCCAACAGTGTGCCCAGGTGGCCAAGAAGGCCAACAGCATCCTGGCCTGCATTAGAAATAGTGTGGCCAGCAGGAGCAAGGAGGTGACCATCCCCTGTACTCAGCACTGGTGAGGCCGCACCTCAAGTATTGTGTTCAGTTTTGGGCCCCTCACTGCAAGAAAGA